TTTGGCCGTTTCCAAAAAAAAAAAAAGTTTTAAACCATACTGTAAATCGTACAAAACAGTTGCAAAATGAGCAAAAATATACCATAACTTACAAAAAAATTAATACAAACTATACCAATGTCGTAGAATGCCAAAATCAAACGAAAAAAGACGAAATTGTAAAGAAATTAACTTGAAGACTAGATTATTCGCCAAACCATATTCTGTGCCATTTGCTCAACCCTCATGACCACGTAGATTTCATAATGAAAAGAACTTTTTGTTTTGCAAAACTTTTTTATTCGCACGCGCGCATCAGTTTTGGGGCTCCCGGAGGATGTCATCCATACAATCAAATCAACATGGCCTTACTTCTAACCATTATTTACAATCACTAGCTTAAATGTTGTATGTTATATTTTATGTAACTTTATATATACATATTTTTTCTCGACATATCCATGTACTAACAGTTTTCACGAGAAATATACGACATTACCAATTTTACTCCAACCACAGGCACTTTGACAAAAATACAATTATTCTGTTCTAGTCTTGTCAACTTTTATCTTACTTTGATAGGGCGATTTTGGGATGATTTTTATACATTTATATACATGTAAATAAACATAGATAAAGCTTTGCTTCGTGCTTGGAAAATTTGGACCGTTTTTACATTATGTACATGTGCTTTTGTCAAAATCTACTTAAAAAAATGAAATACAGTATTTGCAATGACACACTTCCAAGTGCGGCCACAGCAAGTAATCTTTATGGATGACATCAGCGCGCGCATCAATTTTCGAAGACCAAATTTCGTTGCCTTCTGGCGCTGGTCAACATGCCGAAAATGGCCAAATATGTCGTAAACTTGAGGCACAATTGAATAGCAAAGTTATTTGATCACAACCATTTATTTTTCACGAGCCGACGTTTCGATGACCGTCTGTCATCTTCATCAGGGCAATTCTGACTGGTTTACTGTGCACTGGCGCTAGATGTTACTTGGTGCATATATAGTGCATTAAAGGTGTTACTCAATAAATAAGTAAATAAATGATAAATAAATGGTTCACAGTGCACTGTTACTTGGGAACACATTAAACCAGTCAGAATTGCCCTGATGAAGATGACAGACGGTCATCGAAACGTCGGCTCGTGAAAAATAAATGGTTGTGATCAAAGAACTTCGCTATTCATTCGTTTACCAACCTGATGAAACTATTTACGGTTGAGGCACAATTGCTCGCGTTTGATGCCAAGTATTGACACTGACAACTCATCGCATCTGAATGACCAGTTTTGCTACAATTGTTGCAGTTAATTGAGGTATATACACATCTACAACAAGGGATGGTACTGTTGAATATAAAAGACAAAAAGACCCGTTGGTTATGATATCTTGTTTAGTCGCCTCAATAGTTGGTTATTTAATTAACAAGGCGTATGAGTCATGACCTCAAAATTTGAAAACGAAGGAATCTTGCTTTTGCCCGCCTTGTTTTTTTTTGTCCCGTCGCATTAGATTTGGAGTTTGCAGAGGATGTCATCCATAAAATCTACTTGCTGTGGCCTAAATGTTCTTAAAAAATATCTATGCCGACTGAAGCCTATTGTTACATGATGTGATTAACTACAGATACTGGTACCTCTACGTCCGCAAGGTAAAGCTACCGTGTACAGTTCAGATAATTTCTTTTTCTGTGAAAAAGTGAATTTTTGTGCATCGCTGCTCCCGTGAAAATTATGAGGAATATAGAAAATATTGAGGGGATATTGTATAGTCATCACAGATATCTGCAAAATATCTACTACCTCTCATGGTGTCATATACTCATATACTGTGTGGATACAGTTTCGTACCCCATATTATACTGGTATATACATGTAGATGTAGTAATCAGTGTGAAGTGATGTTTTGTTGTTATGCTTTGGCAAAATTCCCGGCCGGGCACTTTCCAGGAACGAAATGTATGATACATAACACAACAAACACAAAGGAAGTTGAAAAAAATAATCATGGGCACTATTTGTATAGATATATATGTTGATATGAATCGTTTGTCTTTCATTCACGCAAACAGCCCGGCCGGGACCCCGTTCCGAAATATGCTGGAGTCACAATTCTAAGCCGGGGCCCGGCCGGGGTGTTTGGATGAACGAAAAAAAAATGTATATCAAGAATATACACAATTAACGTTTATGATTTTATCTTTTAAACGTTTTGTGTGCTTCGTTGTCTTTTAGTTTTATGTCATAATTTTCGTTCTTGTCACCTGCCTGGCCGGGCCCTGGTTCGGATATGTGCCCTAAAGGCGCGGTCACATTTCCCAACCCGGGGCCCGGCCGGGCAGTCGTTTGGAACAAACATTATGATATAAGACAGAAAAAAGCAAAAAAAAAAAGTTTTCAGAAAATTAACCATGAGCACTATTTGTGTATACTCTTCATGTAAATTGTTTATTTTTCGGCCGGCCGGGCCCCGGCTTGGAAATGTGACCGTGCCCTCAGCATTACTTTAATCTCTGAGCAGCTCGGACGGTGTGGACGTGTGCTCGGCAGCCCGGCGAGTGGACCGGCCGATCGTGGACATCCTGGTGCGACCTTCGCTGAACGACGTCATGGCGATGGAGCTCTGCATGCTGCGCGTCCGCATGCTCTTGAACTCTGACCTGTTTAGTATACAAACTATCATGAAAGTTTATCTGGTTCAATGTAGGGTGATGGTTCCTGATGTATATGGCTTCCTTCACCAAAACACATATACAATAAAAACAAAAGAACGTGCATAATCTACAGCCTAATATCAAAACATGCACCGAGTCCCCACAAAATCCGTCCACCCAAACGCGAGAAACAGCTGCGAACATGAAAATCTAAATCTCTCACAAAACCCCCCGGAGGTAAAACAACAACTCTGACCTGACGGCGCGGTTGTAGTAGCCGTAAACCAGCGGGTCGATGGCGCTGTGGAGGTACGACAGCCAGTTCGCCACGGGGAACACGTAGAACCACACGACCTGCTCCTGACTCTTGCTCAGCCTTCCGAAGTCGCTTAGCATCATGACGACATGCAGAGGCAGCCACGTCAGAGTGAACAGCACCACGACCACCAGAAGCATCTTGATGACCTTCGTCTTCCGCTTGGTGACGGACGTGCGAGCGTCGTGCGACGCCTTGGTCTGCCCGGGAGACATGTTGAACCAGATTCTGTAGCCGATGCGGACGTAGAGGTACCCGATGATGCTGAGCGGCAGGAGGAAGCACACGAGGAGCAGGCTGACGGTGAAGGCTCGCCGGTAGTCCTCCGTAGGCCACCGCTCTATGCACATCTGTGCCCCGCTGGGGTTGTCTTCTTCTGCCGGCGGACCCATGATGACCATGACGGGGATGCCCATGATGATGGCGAGGAACCAGATGAGTCGGATGGTCCAGATGGTGCTCCTGACTGTGAACTTGCTCACCGTTGGATAGAGAACAGCATAGTACCTGTAGATTGCGGTACAAATCAATAGAAGACAAACTTCAGGGCTTTCAAATCGATTTTGGGTAACGTATGCACTGATAAGTACGGGTAGGTACTGATAGGTTGATTTCAGAGTGCTTAGCCACTGAGAGGGCCGACCTGAAAGAAAGAAAACAGAATAAAACAAGACTGGCAATGAAAACATACATTGCCATGGCGACGGTGGTTGCTGTTAGGGTTATTGTTTGCATGGCATTGCCATCATTTTCATGATTTTGAGGAAGACTTGGTACCTGTTAAGTCTAGACAGATACAGTGCACTCCTTCCCTGAGTGTATAGTGAACGAGTCCCGGGGTCACAGAAAGTAGGGCCATCCAGGGCAGAAAGGTTTTCCCAAGGGTTTCCAGAAATGTGGGCATAGATGAGGGTCAGAGACATGCCTGTGAACATTCCATTCCTGTGGACAAAATTCCTGTACCATTCCTAGAATTCTTGCAAATTGCACACAATACTGACCCATTAGGCTCCTCCCTGAGACGTCGCCAAAAAACGTAGGTACTGATAGGTAACATAGGTACTGATAAGTAACGTAGATACTGTACTGTGTAGATAACGTAGGTAACGACGGCTAAAGTTCACGATGTCTTGTAAACTGAGAGCAACAAGAAACTTTAGGACGCTGTACACGTATCATTACTTATCTTCCTTGAAGCCATTTGCAGCTAATTGTAAAGGTGCATGCCCTACTCACCCAACCTCAACCCAAATGGTTATACTAGAAGACGAAGGCAATTTTGCGAGTCGACACAGGCATTGATTTCTATATCAACTAAACTAAGTTCGCCTTTCCCCCGAAGGCTGTGGTAAATAACCCAATGACACGACTATTTTAGTTTCTTTTATATAAGGCCATGTTGATTTGATTTATATGGATGACATCCACGCGCGCATGAATTTTTGGCCGTTTCCAAAAAAATGTTTTCAACAATACTGTAAATAGTACAAAACAGTTGCAAAATGAGCAAATATATACCGTAACTTGCAAAAAGAATATCTAAAAACGATACCAATGTCGTAGAATGCCAAAATCAAACAAAAAAGACGAAAATGTAAAGAAATGAATTTAAAGAGTAGATTATTCACCAAACTATACTACATGTCATTTGTTCAACCTTCATGACCACGTAGATTTCATAATGAAAGCAACTATTTTTTGCAAAACGTTTATTTTATTCACACGCGCGCATCAGTTTGGGGTTCCCAGAGGATGTCATCCATATAATCAAATCTACATGGCCTATCAATGATAACGAAAAGGCGTACCGGTCTAGTGCGATAGCTACCAGTGTGAAGACTGAGGCAGCGACGCTGATGGTGGCCGCAGCAGGAGACAATCTGCACATAAACTCTCCAAATGGCCAGCCTAGAGAAAAATAGGGAACAGATAAAATGCCATAAAAATCCCGTTAAAATTATCCATGTAGCTTATATATAGGACAGTGCTAGCATACATCGTAAGACTACGATTACCTAAAGTACTTTCGAACTATCTTCTATATGGTCAATTTGCAAGCTCATGCCCGAGGGCTATATAATTGCAACATGAAACAAGTATATATAGAAATGGTCTTCAGACAATATAAACTAACAATGGTAAGAAGTGGAACAAGTGACCATTCTAATAACTACTACGGAATACAATATGAGCTTTTTGTGTTTGACTTTTTGGGAAGCAGTGGAAGAAGATTGTTTTCTACAATGATATGAACCTTTATTGCATGTTCTTGCCCAGATGGGCTAAATGCACACATGTGACCAAATGTGGTCGAGAGGATTAAAAAAAAATGAGTATTGCATACTGGAACGCTATATTCTAATGCTAAGTCCTAGGAGTCTATATATTACAACAATACTATATACTAAATATCATCTACTGTTTCTTCTCTCAATGAGTGGATTTTGAGTGGGGAGGTTAGTAGGTTTGTAGTTTTCTTTTCATCAGTAAATGTTTGAAAGTTGTGTTTAGTTTCGGTGGCTTCTTTAAATGGCTAATTTCTTTTCTGATAGCTAAAGTTGCACTTGAATAGCAAAGTTCTTTGATCACAACCATTTATTTTACACTAGCCGACGTTTCGATGACCGTCTGGTATCTTTATTAATTCTGACTGGTTTACTGTGCACTGACGCTAGATGTTACTCGGTGCATAGTGCACTAAAGGTGTTACATAGTTGCACTTGAAGATAAAATGAATAAGTCGTTCGAATATATGAATTTTTCATCACACGACACACAATTTTACAGCCGGCACCACCCGATGTGCAGATGGGAATCGTGGAGATTTCCAACTGGTTCGGAAATTAAACGTGATGCCAAGACCAATCATATCGCAACGGCTGACATAGCGTGGATATTGGCCACGCCGAAAAAATTGGAAGAAACTCGATAACATCAGGAACATTTGTCATTCAGATCCACACATGTAACAATATGAGACAACATCTCGGTCTGAGTAGAGAGATTCCAGGAAAAGTTGGTTGGGGGCCACCATTGGTAGCTGACTTCTTACCGAAATGCTGCTGCCGAAATGCTTTTTCTTTATTTTATTTTATTTTATTTTATTTTATTTTATTTTATTTTATTTTATTTTATTTTATTTTATTTTATTTTATTTTATTTTATTTTATTTTATTTTATTTTATTTTATTTTATTTTATTTTATTTTTATTTTATTATTTATTCACATATATTTATTGAGTATTAGGCAAAAAGCAAAACATGCTTACAGTATATAACACCTTCTACTAAAAAACATACAACGAGTGTAAAACACATTGACAAGATACATGCATACATGTAATTACAAGGTGGGTAAAACCAAGATAAATACAAAGTCGGTGATCTATCAATTACGAGAATCTATCCGTACAGTAAATGAAGTTTTGAACTATATCAAAAACATTACAGTTTTGTAGGTGTGAAAGTGATGTGGACCCTCAAAGTAGTAAGGAACATAGTGATTTACTGTCATTGAGATCCTGTAGCTCTACTATGTTGGAGAGAGATGATAACAGTGAGAGTACTTTCTACTGATTTTTCTTGTAATACCATAAGATTCCATGGGGGGACAATAAACTATTGTACTCGCTTTTATTACTCTTAATGAGCAGACTGTAATATTCATTCGCATGCTGCACTTGCATTATTAAGGCTGGTATAAGTCCCCAATGTGTAATCTCGAACATATTATTGTACTTTTTGATATGCTTTCAAACACTAGTTTGCGTTTCCGTGCGCAAATGAGCAAACCATCTAACCGTAAGGTGGTAAATTATCGTACATCTAATCACTAGTATATATACGAGCATGAGTGACGTCCTAAACATTATTCTATGACAGCATGATGGAGTTTGTTATTACTCAGGATAACGATGATACTATAATACGTTTCCGTTGCTTGTCTGGTTATTACGTTATAATGATATACAAGATCAAGGACGGGATCAATTTTACATATTAAGCCCCTGTCACACATTCATATGAATATATGGCCTCCCGGACATTGCCGAACTCCTCCCGAATGTTTCAAAATGTTCAGTGTTGACGGGAGGTTCGGCCATGGTTGGCTGAGTGTTGGAAGTAGTTTGCCTCATGGCTGGCAGTCAAATTTGACTCAAATTTAACTCAAACTGGTCAGACTGCTCCCGAATTTGAGCCAACCTTGTTCGGCTGGTGTTCGGGGGAATGTTCTGAATGTGTGACATGGACTTTATTACCGAACACGTTCTTGGAATAAAACAGACACACGGTAACGTCATAAGATAGTCCTGACACGTGGGAATATCGACCAGACCACTACAGGTGTCTAATTTTCCGGGAACGTGCGAATTCTCCAGGAAACCGTGTTACCCACCTTTGATTTATGCAAATTAGGTCATTATTTGCATAATTGGTATCTGTTGATGTTTCAACTGCCATAGATTACATACATCGCATGTATGAAAGTACTATCATGTAAAACACTGTAATTGCAGAATTTCCTATATATGACGGGAGGTTCTGCCATGGTTGGCTGGTGGTTGGAAGTAGCTTAGGCCATGGTTGGCAGTCAAATTTGACTCAAATTTAACTCAAACTCGTACAGAAAGTTAAGTGTGAGCCAACTTGAGCCAACCTTGTTCGGTTGGTGTCGGAGGAAGGGTCTGAATGTGTGACAGGGACTTTACCGAATACGTTCTTTGAATAAAACAGACACGGCAATGCTACAAGATAGTCCTGACACTTGGGAATATCGACCAGACCACTACAGGTGTCTAATTTTCCGGGAACGTGCGAATCTCCAGGAAACCGTGTTACCCACCTTTGATGATGTTATCGACCAGCGTGAAGGGGATACAGAACACGGCCACCAGGAGGTCACTCGTCGCCAAGTTCAAGATGAAGTAGTTGGTGACCGTCCGCATCCGCGGGATCTTCATCACCACATAGATGACCAACAGGTTCCCGACAATGCACACGACAAACACCGACAGGTAGCCGATCACGAAGACAGCAATGATCGGGGGACTTTGTTTGAGAATCGTGTCCGAATCATCAGCGTTTGCTTCTGACCCCATGGTCTGGTTGTCCCAGGTGCTGTCGTTAGAATCAATTTCTTTCATCTCTTCCGAAGATGATTTTTAAGAGGCCATGGCCAAATGACATTAGTAACGTTTTTGTGGCTTAATTTCATTCACTACTCATTGATGTTGGAAATGATCGGTAGAAATGAAGGGTAATGTAATTATGATAGCTTTCAGTGCACGTCCAATAGTCTTCCCCCTCTGCGGACACGAATCTGGAATATAGAAATGAGGATACCGATTAGATAATTTAGATTAGACAAAAGAAAAATGTCCAGACTATGCATGATGTACAAAATGACTAATACACTGGTGGACGTCCCAACTACTAAGTACCTAATACCAGCCCAGAAGAGAACAAGGAATAGCCATGCCTTCAAGTACCAGAGTTATCAACCAAGGATTGAGGTGTTCAAGAAATCATTCTTTCCTAGAACTATCGCAGAGTGGAACTCGCTGTCACCAATTGCAGTAGGAGCATTGTCATTAGATAGCTTTAAACAATGTCTAGAGTTAGATGTTCAAGGGTTAGGTGTAACCAGTCGATCGGTGTAATATAGCCAGCTGCCGCCGCGCCGCGTGCCTGCAAAGCTGGTGTGTTACGCCGAAGGCCGGTTATACCGGCTATAGAGATACAGATAGAATATCGTAGAAGGTATTAACGGAAGATTCCATAAAATTCCCAATGACCAGAGGGTTTGTCCATTTTGTCCAGAGCTTATTGAGGACGAATATCACTTTTTGATTGTATGTCCTAAATATATTGATGTACGCAATGCACTATATACTAGACTTTCAGATTCTTTCCCAGCATTCACCACAATGAACGTGGAAAGAAAATATAAATACATATTGACTTGTGACAACCCTTACATGCTATACATAGGGATATATATCAAAGACTGTATGGATATTAGGAACTCCTCCAACGATTGTATAAGTTGAGACCCATCTCATACTAGCCACCCACTTTTGTATTAGGTTAGCCTTATGTAGTTGACATGTACTAGCTTAAGTTAGTAGATGCCATACTTTGTACACTGTACAACTGTTGCGCAATAAAGTTATCTTGGTATTAAAGTAGCACGGTTGTCATTCTTTCTAAGGCTGATGGAAAAAATATTGACACCCTTCAGAATGATGTTTCTGGTTCGTCTGGTGGACGGTTTGGTGAATGTTATCTTTTCTTGTCTTTTCATCTCAGTTCGTTTCAAGTCTGATATGTCGCGTCAAGCAGAAACAATCGATTGCTGTTTTGATGGCTATGTGCGTCACGTATGGCAAGGTGGTCTTGTGTGGTTATTTAGGGTTGTTGACTTAGAATCTGAAGGTTCTGGGTTCGAATCCCTTGCAGGAATCCAGTGCTGTGCCCTTGGGAAAGGCACTTTAATTTGAAACTTTATTTGATAGAACAACATGGCAGGAGTACCTCATGAATTGTGTTGCAATGTACAGCGTCTAGAATTCAGCATCAACAGATTACAATAAAAATGCAGCAAGTCATCCTTAAAATATTGTACACATAACGTAGTGACATAAATATATATTCAAAAACAAGGTAACATGCAATACACAGCAGATGTAACAGTAATAACAAAGAAGTATTCTGCAGAAGAAGAATTGAAACTCAATTTAACAATAATAAGGTAATAATAACTGTAATAATAAATAATAAGAGAATAAAAGATTGTCTGTGTCTTTCGGTACGACTCAGTAACATCTTACACCTATTTCCTCAGTCAACTCAGATGAAAATGAGTAGAAAGCTTCGATGTTTGAGAACACCTCAAGATCCCAACGATACTTATCGAAAAGAGTAGGAATCCTTCCATGTGTGGGTGGGTCAAACCTTGCTGTCTGGTTTCAGGTTCGACATCTTGACTAGGTGATACTTACCTGTTATGTCAATACTTCCAATGTGTAGTAAAATGTAAATTGTGATAGATAAATGAATGAATAAATAAATAATTAATTTGAACACAATGGACCAAACTGGGCTAGGCAGATAGTAACATTATTTGTACATAACTCATAAAATATAGCTTTCATTGCTTGATGTCATCTTTGCTTTCAATAGGACACCAATCACCAACAAGAACATTCTAGAATAGGAAAGTTTTCGGGATGGATTAGAAAGATGTACATAGCAGGCATGTAATAAATGCATAAGAATCTGAAGATACATCCGTGAGTGAGTGAGAAACAATTCTGTTTGGCAATATGAACCTGAATAGCCGAATAGAGGATTTCATAAAGGCATTAGAGGCATGGGTCAAACTCAAAGGTACTAAATGTCGAGAAAATGTTTTATGTAGCACAGTAGAACCAATCTCCCCTAATGGCCATTGTACTCTCCAGCTTCAGCTACAGATATTTGGCTGGTTTATCTCAATTTCCCTGGGGTACAAGCTAAGACCCTCCAAGTAGTTTCCCAATTGCTTGCACATCCTTTTTCCCCACTAGTGATTATTTGAAATAGAGATACAAGCATATACTAGTGCACACAGTTGCATATCTAGTGAAAGCTATCTATTTGTCATTGACTGTGGAAGAATCTCTAGAGAGCTAGCCACTGAAACTGAAGAGTTCAGGTTAAACTAAGACGCTCCAAGTAGTTTTCCAATTGCTTGCACATCCTCCCCCCCCCCCACTAGTGATTATTTGAAATAGAGATAGAAGCATATACTACTGCACACAGTTGCATATCTAGTGAAAGCTATCTATTTATCATTGACTGTGGAAGAATCTCTAGAGAGCTAGCCACTGAAAGTGAAGAGTTCATCAGGTTCACCATTTCAAATTCCCAGAAAAAGTGGGCAACTCAGAAGTGTAAGTGTCTGGCATATATCCAAGACGCTCACTCGAAGAAAATGACTAGACATAACTTGTGTTTTTTTTTTCATTTGTATTCCTTGCTTGCTTCGGTTGGGTAGTCTTATCTTAGTCCCCACTAGACGGCCATCAAAAGATAGCGTCAAACAATTTTTTTACATCGGAAGAACTTTGAAGTTTGCTTAATTGTCTAAATGTTGATGTATGTAGGATACCAGTCAAACGCCGACTCTTCTAACAGTTGTTTGAAGTATTTCAGATTCAGATTCAGCTTTATTCATATTGGCATGACATGTTAAACGTTCAAACATGAATTGAGCCAATATTTGACAAAGTTTAAAATACACAGAGCAGATCGATTAAAACTACATTTTAAAATTCGATTAAAACACGTTACACTGACAATATATATTATGTCCTCAAAGAACAAGTATTTATTATGAAATAAAGACTAAGCTTTAACTTCCAACACTTAGATTACGGAATTGGGACTTACCCAAATTTTGGTGTATCTTTTGGTTAATCTAGGTGTTGGAAGTTAAAGCTTAGTCCTTATTTCATAATGACTTGTACCAACACAGATGAACTTTCATGCTAACAAGTACTTATGCAGAATTTACATATCGCTAGGAAGCAGTAAGTTGTAACATGGAGTTGTTGTAAGAATCAGTTGCCAGAGTGGTAGTACAGTTTCAGTGCTCCGGGGATAAAGGACAGTTCATGTCTTTTGTTTCTGCTCTTGCTCTTTTATTCAATGACGACGATTCTTTATTGACACAACAAAAAAGTACAGAGAGACTTTTGTATGGTCTTCTACAACTAAAGATCTAACAAAGCTAAATACATGTGTGGATAACGTCATCTTACGTACAGAGTATATGTATGATGTAACAATAAAGGTTTAACTACTAGTATTCTCTAACATGTGGTCTCTAAGATCGAGACATTCTTTAATGTATTTTCCTATTTGAACACTGTATTGGTTTTCTCCCCTGAGAATGTAGTTGAATTTATCTATAGGATCCTACGCATTGAAATCAATTGAACAAGCGGAAAGAAGGGTGAACGGCAATAGGCGCTTATCATTGTATAGTGTACAATCCATTATAAAATGGTACTCATTTTTTTTATTTGTGAAGAAAAACAAACGTTCAGCGAGCAATATCTAAAAGCGGGGATAAGTCACGACTGATTCTTCTATCTTCCCGAACTTCTATCACACGTAGTACAATATATACGTCCCTGGCCTTCACTCAGTGAAGAAATAATGTATCTTGTCCAAATTGTACTTTTGTGGTCGTAGAGCCATGACCAGATGGGTTCGTGTGATCTTTATTAGTGGTGAATATATCAACGGACGAGTGCAGAATAGAGAAACTTCTATAGCGGTCTGAAGTTAGACATGAAGGTCTTTTTTTGTTTTCTTTTTAATGCCCACGATCATGATAATGATTATTCTGGCATACTCAATTTCACAAGAGGGGAGTGAGGAAAGTCGTGTAAAGTGCCTTTCCCAAGGGCACAAGATCGGCGACAAGGTGGGGTTCGAACCAGGGACCTCTTAGTTCCGAGCCGAACACGCCACCGCTGCGCCACACGACCCCACCCAAGGTTATTTCCGTAAATACAATACCAATGATGCGGTTATTTCTTATTCTGACTTCATTCCGTTTTTGTCCCAAAAGTAAGATTACAACTTTATGGGATTCTCGACTACGAGATTTGCAAAAGTTCAAACAGTCCTTGACTTTATAAGTTAGTCCAAGAACTGCTGCTATTGGGAATCAGTGAATATATCTACGGACGAGTACAGAATAGAGAAGCTTCTAGAGCGGTCTGAAGTTAAGACATGAAGGTTATTTCCGTAAATGCAATACCAATGCTGCAGTTATTTCTTATTCTGACTCCATTCCGTTTTTGTCCCAAAAGAAAGATTACAACTTTATGGGGTTATCGACTACGAGATTTGCAAAAGTTCAAACAGTCCTTGACTTCATAAGTTAGTCAAAGAACTTCTGCTATTGGGAATCAGTGCATATATCTACGGACAAGTGTAGAATAGAGAAGCTTCTGTAACGGTCTGAAGTTAGACATGAATGTTATTTCCGTAAATACAATACCAATGATGCAGTTATTTCTTATTCTGACTCCATTCCGTTTTTGTCCCAAAAGTAAGATTATAACTTTATGGGGTTATCGACTACGAGATTTGCAAAAGTTCAAACAGTC